GTTTCTTAAAGAAGATGAAGATGATCAACATGATGGCGAAGATGATGATGATGGAGTGAAAACCTTGAATGAAAAAGGCTGAGTCAAGAAGAAGAAGAAGCCACAGATTTGATGAACTTTGAGAAGAAGATGATGATGAGAGAAAAATAGTCGAACATGGTGAAAACAATAGATCATTTAGATCTACTGGTGAAAATGTTTCGAGATGATATTGAAAAAAGTTCTGTAATAAATTAACATTCATTGGAACTTTTTTTCATCAAGTTTATTCACTCATCTTGATCATATCTTTTCTATACAGTCTTCGATTTCAAGGGTATGCATGTGAACTTGATGATTTTGAAGCAATTATTTATCAGTAGTTTACTGAGACTTTTTTCAGAATTTTTTTGCCTGTTTTAAGAAGTAGAGATCAGGGAACATGCGAATGAGAGTAGGGATGGAATTCCCTGGAAATGTGATATTATATGTGAAAGAAAAGTTTAAACCTCTTTCTTAAAAAAAGTTCTGAATGAAATATGAATTCAACGACAAGACTATCAAGATATTTGCTGAACATCATGGGAACAAAATATTTACACCTATTGAGCACAAAATCTTCATCGATAATTGTTGATAAAGGATTGTATTCATGATATTGATAATGAATAATCGTGATAACATTGAAACAGGAGAGAAAAATTCCAAGCATTCTGAATATTCATGAATAATTCCGACAGTTTGACCTAAATTTGTTTGTAGAGATATTGATAGACAGAGAGCAAACATTGACCATGATAAACTAATGAGATAATAAGATAATCATTAGAGTTTATGGACTAAAAAGTTCATTCAAAATGATATCACCATAAATCGGCCTGACATATACAATGTATAAAAAAAGCACATTCATGAGCATTGATCGTAATTACTAAATGCGAATATGCATGAAAACCATATTAATTAATTTATAAATTACCTCTTTTACAATATAATATATAAATTACCATAAAATTTTATTCATTTACTATGAACTTTTAAGCTTCTTGGGTTTGAATTTGTCGAAAAACTTTTCCATGGTGAAACTTTCTCTGTAGGCAATTCTGGTTCATTGAAATTTTTGTTCTGTTAGCATGCATTGAATGAGAAACATTTCTCTCATTCTAATGAAGAAATAATAAATCTCCTGATGAGACTTTTCTTTATGATTCTGAACTGTAATTTCATGTTTTTAAACTTTGATTTTTGTAACAGATGATGATCATTCAATTAAGATAAGTACAGAGGCTTCTCAAGGCTTCATGGAGATCATGATGAAAACATGAGGAGTGAGTCAATAAGTGTATATGTTTTCAATCTGTCTGTTGGTTTCATATCTCTCTCTCTCTCTCTCTCTCTCTCTCTCTCTCTCTCTCTCTCTCTCTCTCTTCTCTCTCTCTCTCTCTCTCTGACTTTCTGAACATCCCATGTAAATGATTGATAATGATAAGAATACTGAAAGAGACAGAAGAGAGAGAGAGAGAGAGAGAGAGAATCCGGAACTCATTCAACTAATAACAATTTATCACCATAATAGTTTTATCCTCGTCATTATCATTATTAACAACAGCTGATTGATATTGTTGTTCAGTTAATGATGTCAAGATGATGGTGAAAGATGCAGATTCTGAATGAGAGAGCAAGAAAGTTCTGTTAACAGAGCCAGAACTTTTCTCTTTCCACTTAACTTTTGCGAAATTTTCACCATTGCGCTCAACATGAACTCTACTTTCATCATGTAAATATATCATTGGCAGAATGATGATGGTAAGAATGGTAAAAAAAATGAAGAGATGGTGAGTTATTAGGATAAAAGTTGGAAAAAAAATCATTACCAACGCCATGAAAAGTCATGATGACAACATGGAAATTAGATCATAAGGAGAAAAAAGAAAAAAACTTTTGTTCTAATTCAAGGCTCGATTATTATTCTTTCAACATTTCAATTGAAAGAAAATCATAACATTTACATGATAATCACTGATCTCCATGGTCACTGTTCAATATCCGATTAGTAGGATTCAGAGATGAAATGAAAATGAAAATTAGCTGAATAATCAGATAATTTGGAATAAATTTTTCTTACTTGATAAAAGTTTACGATTGAGTGAAGATTCAACCTTGATTCTATGCTAATTATAAATACATATACAAAGCTATGGTAATCAATGAAATGGTTTAGTCTCTTAGTGAATAAGCCTCTTAAATTATCCTGAACCGAATAGATTGAAACTCTGAAAAGACAAAGTTCTGATGAAGAAAAAAAATGCTTCGTTCTCTTTTATTATCAGATTATCAGATTATTATTAGCATTATCTTTATCATCATCATCATCATTATGATTATTACTTTTGTTATATTATGATTACTACTTTGATATCATCATAATCATCAAAGTTATTACATTATCACAATATTATCATCATCATTATCCTCAGATAATGTATTTGGACACAGAGGTTGAAAAATGGACACAGAGGGACAGAAATAGTTGCTAATTGGATGTAACTTGGTGAGAGAGAGAGAGAAAGGCCAAAGAATCAGAAATTAACTTTAATTGATGAAATTCTCCTGTAAAGATTGACCAAGAACGCGAATAATTTGATCAGAATGGTCAATCTATTTAGTAAGCGAGTGTAAGTGAATTTAATTGTGTAAATAATTAGTGGAAAGCTAAAAGTTTTAACGAAGAAAAAGTTCTGAACCTCAATGAAACAATGGAAAACTTTGAGTGGTGAGAAAAAGATTCTGTGGGTGGTGATTATGGAGATTAGGGGAGGGTGTGGATTGGTGAAGGTGGAGAATTGAAGAGAAATGTAGCTCGAACAATATTCAAGTTTAACAAGATAATGAAAGAAAGTGAAGAAAGAGGAAAAAAAGAAGGAGATTGTGATGATAATGATGATGATGGAATAAGATAAAGAAAAAAAAAGTGTTGACCATAAGTGAAACTCCCCGTGGCGACCAGTTCCTCCTTCTTCATGTAATTCTTGACCAGGTAACAGCTTAATACAATTGACTCCTTATTACATTATCATCATCATCATCATCTTCATTTCATTTACTCTTTTCCGTATCTTCTAATCATCAACATTATCCTTTCTCTCTCTGTAGATGATGATGGTGATGATAATAATCAAGAGATAATCAGAGGACACGGAACCATAATGATGAATACAACTTTTAATACTTACGACTGATGAAATGGAAGAGAGAAATTTTATCTTCCAACAAGATGATGATAAGATGAACCACAGGAAAAGAAAGAAGAGAAAGAGTAAGATTATGATAAGCTCTTAATGATAATCAACCAAAAGAAAAAAAATATCATAAACCTAAAGATAAAAACCAAAGAGAATAAAAAAAATCTCATTTCTGACCAATATATTGACCAGAATTTTTATTTCTCTCTCTCTCTCATCTTCAATAACTTTCATCTCATCTTTAGGTGGTTTCAATTTCCTTTTCTGCTTGACCAGTAACTCAGTTTTTCGGATATTCATTTGAATTGAATTTGTATCCTGTTAGAAACAGAAAATTGTAGTAATGATGAAAATTGCTCAGTTCATTTCCCTGAACAATTTGTGAACAATCAATTATCCGATTTACTTATTTAGACATATGATTATTTCCGATGAAAAATTATTATTTGATTAATTGTTGGTGTTTCATCTTGTAAACCAAAGAAGGGAAGAAAAAAAATAATGATGACAATCATCATCATCATCATGATACACTCATTGAATCCCCTGAGTTATCATCTCGAGTTTTATCACTCCCACCAGAACTTTCTGAATAATAATATTGATAATCGATAACAAAATACACGGAGAAACTCACAGAGATATTTTATCACTTTTCTCTCTCTTTTTTTTGCTTTACTTATTTTTCAACAGAATCGTTTATCCTTTTTCCTTCTTGTTGATATTAATCCTCATCTCTCATGAAAATCCTCACGAGATTCCAAATTGACCCTTTACTTTAATTATCTGCTAATAATTAATCAATTTACTCATCTTCATCTTTTTTACCTTACAATCAATTAATATTTTTCCTTCGTGATGATCAACCCAATTAGGGATAATTAATCAAGGTAAAGTTTTAATATTCATACATGTATACTTTATCTAAGTGAGATTATCATCTGATTAGATGGTGAATCAATCAAGGATTCAATTATTATTAATCTAATGGGAAAGTTTATCAATGATTTTCACTGGAAATATTATTTCAATTATCCATCAACATTTCTCATGACTCTTGTTATCGTTTTTTCTTGAACTTTTTAGGAAAAAGGAACAGGATTGGTGATGAAAATTTCTCATGAAATTGATAATCATTGGAAAATAAAGGTTATTGGAAATATTGTTGCGAGAACATGTGATTGATAATATCCTGTTTGATTACTTCTTCCGGTTTATATTCACATTGGAAAACAAAATGTTGAGAGTAAACAAGAAAATAAATGATGATAAGAGAGTCCAAGGAAATGGTTGTTTCTTAGGCAGGAGCAAGAGAGAGAGAGAGAGAGAGAGAGAGAAAGAAAGAAAGAAAGAAAGAAAGAGAGAGAGATTGAATTTCGATGGTGAGGTGAAAAAAGGTGATATTCTTGATATGAAAGTTCAGGAGATTCAGAAGGAAGAGGAAAATGTGTCATGAAAAAACACGAATCCACAAGAAAAGAAACTCAATAAATTCACTGGGTCATGATAATCTCATGACGATAAAAAGAACAGGAAGGAAAAGGAGGCAGGGAGAAAGATGAAATAAAATCGAAAGAAAAAATTCACTCGAAAAGATTTCGATTGATTTTTCATTCATCAAAAGCGAGAGAGAGAAAATAACTTATCATTAAATTAAATCAATAGATTAACAAGTGAACCGATTGTCTCAGTGATTATCATATAATCACAATCATGAACATCATGATAAGAGCCAAACAATTTGAAATAAAACAATTTGAATTCGTTTTTGCAATTGGATATGCTAAATGTTAATTATTCAATTAGTTAATCATTATTATTATATTATCATTTTTCATGGTAAAGGTGAAACAACCAAAGGGCATTTTAACATCATGTTTGTTGGTGTGCATTTCATTTTAATTTCAAGTTAGATTGTATTGTTTTTTTCATGGGCTTTAAATGATCACGAAAGAAAGAGCGGGAAACAAGTTGGAATTTAAAATTTTCGCTGGTAATTGAAGTAAGATTAATTGTTTTCTTTTCTTTTCCTTTTCCTCCTTATCTGGTAATCTCATCATCAAGGTGAGAGAGCGAGAGAGTGAGAGAGAATAAGGAGACGAATAGAGTTCAGATTTATTGGTTTCATTTAGTATTCTCATTCTCTTTGGAATTGAAATGAACAATAGTAGTTGAAGAAGAGGTAATTATATGTTTGTGTGTAAGTGCAGAAACTCAGGTAGCTGAAAGACAGAAATAATCATTCAGATGCGATATTTAAGCGAAATCAGCGAAAATTGATGAAGATGATGAACAAGATGAGGGAGGCGGAAGATGAGGATGATAATAATAATAATAGTAAAGTAATATAATGTATAAAGGAAGACACAGAGCAAGAGAGGTTTTTGAAGATCAAAAATAAGATGGCAAAGCAAAAGAAAGAGAAGAAAAGAAGATAAGATGATGACAATGATGATAAGAAGGGGTTTAAAGAGAGAGAGAGAGAGAGAGAGAGGGCAAAGTTTTCGAATCAAAATAATAAAAAAAATGTGAGCAATAATTTTTTTTTATAGAACTTTTTTTTCAATTTCGAAAACGAGATGATAACTAAAAACGTTAAGAGAGACAAAAAAAATAACTGAATGTATAATATAATATGTAATGAAAAAATCTATTGAGTTTGTTGGGTGAACAGAAAAATGAAAGAAGATAAAGTTAAGAGAGAGAGAGAGAATGATGATATAAAAACAAAAGAGAGAGAGAAAGAAGGAAGAAGACAAAAGAAAGGTGAGAAAATCTCTTTTTTTCTGTTATGTAATTAAATTGTGGCGATGATGATGATGGTATTTGTAGTATTTAACTGGAGAGTGAGTAAGTGAGAGGGAGAGGGAAAGAATAATAGTCGGAAAGGCAGAATGTGACAGGATGATAGAGAAAGAGAGAGAGAAACAAAGGAGGGGATGGTCATCAAGATGCTAATGGTCACTTCCTTTTTTCACCTTTGGGTGATTTTCTTTTGTTTTTCTTTTTATTTGTTTGGCCGATGCACAATAAGATTAATCAACGAATCGAGTGCAAGCCTTTTTCCACTTGCATTGAGTACACCAAGAGTCTCGATTATCCATACCATAAACTTTCCGACACTTTCGAGTCTCGGTTCGGGTTCGACGGGTCGGCGATATGCTTGACCCTTTAAGGAGGGTCGTTGCAATCCCTGTGGTTGATGGAGATGAAGTGGATGAAGATAATGATGAGGCCGATAATGAGGTTGAACTTGATTGTAATAAGCTTGTCCATTGGTTACTAGAAGCGTTGTTATTGGCATTGGTAGTTGTATTTGTACTCAGGGTTGGGTTGTTGTTACTTGATGAGATGATACTAGTAACGGTGTTACTGTTTGTCTTATTGGTACCGCTAATTGTTATGGTTCCGGTTAATGTTGGGTTGGTGTTATTTCCCGATGACTTGATGTTTATTGGGCTTGAAGTGTTACTACTCAATCGCATAACTTTGGAAGGAGCTTTTGGCGAGAAAAAGTTCACTGGACTTGAACTTGAGGCAAGGAGAGATGCTTGAGATTGATGCTGATGGTGATGGTGATGGTTAAAGTGGTGATGATGATGATGGTGGGAGTTTGAAAATGAGTAACTAGAATTGCAACTAGTAGCAGAGAAAGGAGAATATGATGATGAAGAATCACGCATTTTTGTTGACCATCGATGGGCAACCGATATACCGGGAATGTTGATCGGGCTTGATATCACTGTCTTTCTTTCCGGTTCCGGTTTTAATTGGGCACTGGCAATAGTTTGGGTCACCAATGAAGATGATGATGATGATGATGGTGATGGTTTTTGTTGCTGTTGCTGTTGATTAAAGTTTTGCACTTGTTGGTTTTGTATTTGAATTTGTTGCTGTTGTTGTTGTTGTTGCAATTGTAACTGTAATTGTAATTGTTTTTGTTGCGCTTGATATTCAGGATCCTCGTGTGGAGGTCGTGCCATATCAAGATGACTCCAAGTGGGTGAGGGAGCAAAGAAAAGGAGGGAGGAGGCCGAACTGAGTGTCGGACTTAAATTGTAATTTGTACTGTGAGGTGACTCTGATGAACTCAAGACTGGAGACAATAGACCCAGGCTACTATCATTAGAAGATGAACTATCTTTACTACTAATAATTATATTCTCAGTTTCCATTTCCTCTTCAATTTCGGCGTAATAAAATTCCTCCTCATGATCATTTTCCTCTTCACTGGCGTTTTCACTTCGTCTGTTTATATGATAAATGTAACATATGATGGGGAGAAAAAGTAAAAAGAGAGAAATTTAATCGATTGAAAAAAATTTCTTTATCGATCCAAATGGTTTAGACTCTTACCCAAGGTGAATGGTTCTAATGTGCTTTTCAATTGATTCAATTAGATCACATCGAACGCCACATCCACGCCAAGTACATTTGAATACAATTCGTCGTGCCTTCTATCGTGTATATAAAGAATTGAAAGAGAGGGCGAGAAAAAAAAATTATCATCTAACTTTCAAAGTGAATACAAAGTTACTCATAATGATGATACATTTATGTATTATATGGATTACAATTGGATTCAAATTCAGATTTAGATTCAAATCATGATACTTGACATGGTAAATGAATACTACATCAATATAATTGAAAACGAAATAAATATAACAAAATACTAATAAGAAACTAAAGAAGAAGATAAAAGTTGATTGTTGGTAGAAATCAAATAAAAGTCTGATTGATTCTAACAGAATAGACAAAGAACAAGTGAGAGAGAGAGAGAGAAAGAAATATCTTCTCTGTCTAAATCATCATTAACATCTTCTTCTTCCTGTTCATCTTCATCCTTCTTTCATTCATCTTACCTCAGCAATTGTTTGTATTGGATCATCAATAATAAAATCAATTGTTTCATCCATATCGATTCCTTCATCCTTATGAATAATAGTTAATCCATTAATTTGATTATTATTAACATTCGAATCATTATTATTTATATTTCCTTTAATAGTTTCAACATGGTTATTGTTAATCTCGATGGCAATTGGCGAAGCGGCAGTGGATCGCTCTTCGTTAATCGTCGGTGGTGACGGTGTATTTGATCGGCTGGCAGCAGATCCAAACTCGACACCAGAATCGATGCTTTTCACTGAGTAAATTCCTAAAGAAAATTGAAAAAAAAATAATAAAAAAGAGAAAATTAGTATTAATAACCTTTGTAATCCAAAAATCACCATAATAAAGCATCAGCTGAGACAGAAAACTATTAATACAATCAAGATTATGGAAGAGAAAAATTTAATAGAAAAAAAAAGTATTACAGTTTTTAATGAGTTAATAGAAATTTAAATTGTTGCAAATAAACTTAATTTACAAATCAGAACCTAAAGTGATGATGATTATCATCGGATAATTGACTTGAATAAGAAACTCAAAACAATTAACCTGTCAAGCTAATGATTATCAACTTATTCTGCTTTTATTATTATTATGAAAATGTATTCATAATATTAGTTTGTGTGAATTGGGAATGAAAATTTTGATACAAAGTATCATGAGTATATCATGAAATTGAACTTTTTCCTCTCCCCCATCAACAGAATTACAAAGTAATACAGTTTACCCATTTCTCTTGTTATAATAGTTAAGCATGCAAATTGAATTACAACGAATTAATAATTAAACTCAATAGAAATGAGATATAGATTGATGATACTGATGATGATGATCATCATCATGATCGGTCAATGAGAAAACATGATAAGGTAATAAATGAACCGATGATTATTGGGAAAGATAAATGGAAACTATTAGATGATAATAAATGATCAACGTGTGGTGATGATGATGAGAAAATGATATTATGAAAATTGAGAGTTTTTTTCTGATACTTTTGAGTGATGATGATTTTTATAAATAATCAATCTGAATGTTATTATTATATTCAAATGAAAAATAATAATCATCAACATGATGATGATAATGATGAAACTGGAACAGAAAATGATACAAAGTTTTTTTTATTATTATTATGATAAACATACATATCAAGTTATTGATTGATTGTAACTTAATATGGAAAGAAAAAGTTTCTCAACAAATGGAAATGAAGTTGGAAAATAAAATATAACATTCAATAGAAAAGTAAATGTTAAATATATTATTTTGTTTTTATATTGGAACATTTTTCTCAGAACAATTTTCTGTGAGTAAAAATTGAGAGAGAAACGATAACTAAATATAATACAAACAATGATTATGATGATAATAAATACAGAGAAAATGTTATCATCATCATTAAAAGAATTTATAATTTTTCATTTAGTCTCGTTTCTTTTTTTTTCTAATTCTGTACATGATTGTTCAGAGTTTGGTGTTCATGCTGTTACCATGAAGAAAATTGTTATCACTAATGTGATTATTATTTTCCATCATGAGAATTCATTGTTTCTAGTTCAGCAAAAAGAGAGAGAGAGAGAGAGAGATAATGATGATAAAATGTCTGGCTACATGATGATGATTTCAATTAAAGAATCAGTTGAATTATAAAACAAAAGATAGCTTTGGATAAACTTTTGATTATCATGATAATAAATAACTTGCAATGATAACTGTACTTTTTTCATAGTTTATCCATATTATGATAATCAAGAGAGCGACAGCAAGATTGAAATTTGTTTAAAAAAAGAGTAAAAATAAATATATATCATCCAATTTCCATCCTCATCCCATGTCATCATCATCAGTTATTAAGACTTGAATACTTTGTGTCTCATAATGATGATGTTATGATGATGATGATGTAAAAGTGAGTTGGAAATTTTAACTAATTAAAAACTTTAATCATCATGTTATTTTACGTTACACTAATTAGGTTTGACCTGCCTAAACATTTTCCTGTTCATCATAATCATCATTTTGATCCTCATCATCCGTCTAATATGAATCTTTGCGCTCATCATTATCATCACTCACATGATGATAAACATGATAAATATTTTTTTCTTCATTTCTAATAGAAGAACAAGAAAAAAAAGTTATATTTAGCTTTTCAATAGTCGAGCTTCATCATCCCAATCATCAGCGATTACTCTTACAAAATCCTTCCGCATCATCCTCATCATCTTTCTCTCTCTCTATCTCTAATAACACCAACCAAACCCTCACCAAGAATCAATATAAATCAAGATGTAGCTTATAGTATTCATTGAGTTATAACAAGTTCTGTATTCATAATGTTCAGAAATCAACTGAAATCATGATAATATGTTCATACAAGTTCATCATGTTATCAATATATTTATTTTTCATCAACTCATAAAGAAAAAAAAACTGATAAATAATAAAGATATAACTTTTTTTTATTATTCTCCCACTGATCTCATTATCTGAATCGTTTGCGTGTTTATCTCATTGAATTATATAGTCAATATAATCATGATGATGACAAATAAGTTATTATATAGATATCATTAGAATCAACAAGAGTTAATTCATTATCATGATGAAAAGTTTTTTGTTTCACACAACAAAAGATAGAGCATGAAATTCAGAATCAATTCGTCAAATTTATCATGAAATTGTTGTAATCATAATGAATTGTATTATTAGTTTTCTCAGGTAGAAAATCAGAAAAGCAAAGAACTGGAAACAAATGATTCATATTTCCAATGATGAAATTTAATACATAATATTTATTGACAAAGAGGGAGACAAGGGAGACAAAAGGAGAGAGGTAAATTAACTTTACGCAATAATAATCATGATGATGATGGTAACATAATTAAGGTAATATTGATTACACACTTTCTCTTCCTACCTCACCCACTTTTGTGTCAACAATTTAAACAGGTTACGAAATAGAGGAAGAGGAAAAAACTTCTCCCCCATGATAAGCAAACATCACTTTTTTGTTTTGCTTATTCAGGGTAAGAGGTTATGAGATATCAAATGAATAACTTTCTGGTGTAACTTGATTATTTACCATGAATGAGAATCGAAAACACTAACATTTAATTCAATGTTATGATATGTTGAGAAAGAAGAGAGAGAAAGAGATAAATGAAGAGCGTCATCATGAAATTATGATTATCTCTTTTCTCTTAGCAACAACAAGAGAACAAAAAAAAACACCGAAATTCAACCTTGAAAATGAACAGAACTTTTTCCAGTTTCTCCTCGCTAATCATGATAATTATATAATTTACTTTCCATTAATTTATTAATAGTAACGGAAGAAGGAACGGAAAAATAATAAGATGAAAAGAAAAAGGGAGAGAGGGTTGAATAGGAATGAGAAATTCAGTTGAAGGATAATGATGATGATGATAAATTATAAGATGAAATCACAGAATTGCAATAGGAACTATTGATTAGATTTTCAGTTTTATCCTTGAGTTTTTTTTTCAGGGGATTTTCACTATTTGTAAACATTATCATAACAATCAACTTGAGCTATTTGTTTAATTGTTCAATTGAATTTCTCTACTTCTCTCAGATTCCATTGATAATCTTTACCAATCATTGAAACTTTTACTCGAATGAAAATAAACTCATTCATATAATAGATTGAGAAGGAAAAAAAGTTTCTTTTTATTTCTAGGTTGACTTTTACTCTATCATCGCTAGTATTTCATTAATAAAGGTAAATCAATGAATGAACGTACCAAAATGGTGGAATATTAGATGATGATGAGGTCGGAAAGCTATTGATGAATCGAAGCTAATGATGACAAAAAAGAAAGAACTTCAACTAATATAATAAGAATAAAAAAGTGGAACTTTTCGTTTTTGTTCAGAAGTTTTTCTCTTCAGGAGGAAGAGAAAAGTTTTCTTTTACAGTTCTCAGGTTATTGCTGATTCTGCCGATTGTGAGTTTCAAAGTGATAGAGATGAACAGAATTCAGCTACATATAAATACTTTATATGTTCTTTGAACATTATTATCGTGATAATATTAATAATTGGCTCAATGGATATTTTATCAAAATCGATTTCGAGCTTCAAGTTCAAAACTTTTCGAGCTTCATGTCCTCCTTTTTTCTTCATTTCCCCATCTTTTACTATTTTTACTCTGTTTACCAAAATGAGATGAAGACAAAAAAAAGATGAAGCAAAACTTGTTGACAATTCAAATAGAAGCGTTGAAAGAGTCGACAAGTTTCCTTCATCTTTACTATCTCTCTCTCTCTCCTTTTATTTATAACTCATCAACATTATCAACTTTTTCTTCATCACAACCAGCATCATCTTTCAAATGAAGAGATAGTAGAAGATACTAGAGAAGTGAGAGAGAGAGAGAGAGAGAGAGGGAAATTCAAAGGGATGATTAAAACCTCTTACTAGGTAAACAAAAATTAAGCATCAACAATAATAATAAACGAGGAAAAAGCCATTGAAGCTAAAGCAAAACTCATCAACCAGTAACCTGAATAAACTTTAGGTTATCAAATGTTGATAATTTTCAATTCGATTCGGTAAAACTTGATGACAAGATGAAGAGCAAGAAGATGAAAATGTGACTGGGAGGGAGAGTACATAATTCACTCTCTTTCAATGCTATAATAAAATATGATATAACGATATGATAACAATAATATGATAAAGTAAAAAATTGCCTTTCATTCATTTTTCACTTTGAATCATTTCAAATTCTGGTGATTAGTAAATATTCAAGATGAAGCAAATTCTATTTTCTCTCCCTTTCTCTTTTTTTACTCACTAATGGTTATCATGAAAAACTATCTAGAATATCATATATAATAAAGTGTATATTAAGTTAAGCATCCATAAAGAATGGTAAACAAAATAATACAAACTAAAAAGTCAAGTACTATGTGATTTATATGGGTATGCGCATACACCCAAATACCCTTATATATCAATTGTTATGTTATCAACTGTACTTGACATTGATATTTGTTTGTATATTGAGTTTTTCCAGACAATAGAGGATGATGATGATGATGATGACTACTGTCGTTTTGTTTACTTATATATTTCAACATTTTACTGAGCTCACATTTTTATTCAGCAACTATTAATATCATTACAATTATATGCAGCTACTTAATGATGATAATGATGATGATACTATTAACAGATGAGAAATGATGAAATGAATAGTAATTTTGTAAAGAAAAAAAAAGCTACTATTTTATATGTTCAATCTTATTATTAGTTATCTCTGAAAATTAGCCTTGTAACGTTAATGTATTAGATGAAAATTTTGTATTCAATTGAGTGTGTAAAGAGA